TTCTTTACTTAAAGAAACGGCACCGTTTTTGGACCATGGTCCACACACCTGATGGTCCACAGTATAACAATCGACACTACCAACATCTTACCCATTCAGTTTTGGATTGTACTGCATACAAGAGCAGCAATTATATCGTGGACCATGGCCCACAAAGCTTTGTGGGCCATGGTCCAAAAACGGCGCCGTTTCTTTAAGTAAAGAAACGACAGTCGTTACAGCTTAACGAAGCGCATATTTTTGGTGTGTTAATTACCAAATGAAACTACAATGTATCTACAGTGACACTGCCTCACGTATTATTTTTATATTATCAAATGAAACTGCAATTGAATTGAAATAAAATTGTAGTTGTGTTGAAATGAAACTGCAATGTATACAAAATGAAGCTGAATAACAATTTCACATATTTAAGTGTATATTGTCCAGCGAAACTGTAGTTATATCAAAATGATACTGTAGTTGTGTTGAAATGAAATTGTAGTGTATATAAAATGAAACTGAATAAAACATTTCACATATTTGAGTGTATATTGTGTAATGGAACTGTAGTTGTATCGAAATGATAATGTAGTTGTGTTGTAATGAAACTATAGTGTATATAAAATGAAACTGAATAACTGTTTCACATAGTTGAGTGTATAATATCGAATGAGACTATAGTTATATCGAAATGAAACTGTAGTTGTGTTGAAATGAAACTGCAGTTTATACAAAATGAAACTGGATATGTTATACAATCAAAGCTACATCTTGCAGACGGCGCGGAACAGGTGCCGTTTCTTTTCAATAAAAGAAACGACAGCGATTTGATTCCTGAACCACAATGCATTGTGGACCGTGGTCCATAGTACAATTTGCCATACAAGAGCCACATATATTAATTGGCACCTTATAATTTGTCTAATATAATATACTATAATATTATTTTAATATGAAAAGTTTATAATATGAAAAAGTGTGACTATTGTACGGCTAGATAGTAAGATTTTAACAAATAATTATCAATTAATTACGAAAAAGTGTCAAATAAGTCACTATACACTACTGGAAATTATGGAATTTCCGACCACCTGAAAGTGATCTTAAATCAAGTTGAAAGTCTTGTTCCGACCACTTTTGGTATCCGGAAAAACCTTTGTTGCTATTTCCGATCACTTTTTGAACTTTTTGGTATCAACTTAATTTAAGATCATTTTCAGGTGGTCGGAAATTCCATAATTTCCACTAGTGATACTTATCACTTTTGTACAATTGGATTATTAAACTTAAAAAGTGTGCAATTGAACTTTCAAACATGCAAAATATGTGCAATTGTAACATTTTAATGATTTTTTTTAATGCAATTTGAGTTTAAAACATTTTGATCTTTACTCCCAACTAGTAGAGGGAAAAAAAAAAAAAATTTAGTACACACCATGTAAATAATATGAGCAGATTTTATCTAGAAAAATTGAAATATTGACTTAATTACACATATTTTGATTATTTGATAGTTCGATTGCACACTTTTTAAGTTCAGTGACCTAATTGCACAAAATCAAAAAAATTCAATACCCTATTTGACATTTTTTCCATTTAGTTATAAAAATATCAACGTATCTTTTCATTTATAGTATATCATATATTTTTGGTATTCTGAAATTTTCCAAAATATAATATATTATTATATCACATAAAATAATGCAAATTAAGTGGTTGATATATTTTTGAGTGTAGTAATCTAAGTCAACCAAGACTGTTCCGGTAAACGATAATGTGGGTGTATTTATGCATGAATGACTCATAGGATGTGTACATTTTGTTTTTTCGTATTATAATCAGATAGGGGAGTGATGACCTGCAAAATGGTTTAGTTACCAGTCAACTGCTCTACATAATGGTGACAGCAAATTAAATATCTTCTTCAGTCTTCATTTTACGCTTGTGTAGAAATATCATTATTCCATTTTCTATTACTGATTATAATGTGGATTTATTTATTTATTTATTTATTTATTTTTTAGGTTAATTTATTTTATTTTAAGATTAATTTTTTTTCTTTTTCTTTTCATACACTAATGTATAAAAAAAATCTTAAAAAAAACTCTAATTAATATCTTCTAAATGACACCATGTTGATATATTTCTTTAAAAAAATTTTAAAAATAAATCTATGATTACATAAATTAAAGTCATTACTTTAGTGTATTATTTATTATATACTTTAATATTTGTTTTTATGAACATATAGAGGGAACATTATGAATCGACTATAAAGTGAATGAAAATACATATGATATGAGTGCATTTGGAAACTCAGAAAATGATTTTTGAAAATCATTTTCTCGATTTTCAGTGTTTGGCTAGAGAGGGAAAATGGAAGTCAATGGAAAATAGGGGTGTGGTTAATTAATGAAAAAATAGAGAGATTTTCCGGAAAATGATTTCCCCCTTTTTTTTGAGGAAGTCAATTTTCGTTTGCAGCAATGGAACAACCAATCACCCGTCGTCGCTGCCGTCACCATCACCACCGCCGCCACTACCCACCACCCACCACCACCACCTACTACCACCGTCGCCCACCACCTCCACCTCCACCTCCACCATTGAATATAGCCAAAACTTATATATGTTGCATGGAATTTAAAATAAAAGTTGTTATATTCTAAACAAAACAATAAAAATATTTTTTTAGGTATATAACAATTAAAATTTTTAAGTATACAATTTTGCTCATTTTCTGAAAAATGAACCAAACACGCAAAGACAGTTTTCTGTTGTGCAGCCAAACACTGGAAATGAAAATGTTTTCTGGAAAATGACTCAAAAAGACAATTTTCTTCTGTGCAACCAAACACTCGAAAGGAAAATGTTTTTTGAAAAATGACTCATTTTCCAGAAAACTTTTTCCATAAGTCATTAGTTTCAATTTTTTATGGATAAGAAATTAAGTAAAAAAGGAGCGGGTCATCTAAACTATAATAAAACTATATGGTTTGGGAAGTAATTAATGTTACAATTAATGTTACTTCCCAAACCATATAGTTAAGATTAATGTTATAATTAATTTCCAACATTATCATTATTACTAGCTATACATATAAAATAGCCACAACATCCTTTACTATAAAATAAAAAAAAATAAAAAAAAAAACAAAAAAACATAACATTTGAAAAATAAAATAGCTATTTTTTCCTCGCTCATAACAAAGGATTACATTTATTGAATTAATGGAGTTATTAAATGTTATGATATTAGGATTAAGGATTCCGATTCCCGATTAATAGAAAATATGAAACGATGCAATATCAATTAAATCTCTGGCTTTACAATGAAAGTTTATTTGATATGTTTTTGTTATTTATGGTGCTTCTTGAGATTACAATATTAATTAAATTTTCGATAAAAGCGTATTCGATATCTGAAACAGTACAATTAATGTAAGCCTCTACATATAATTTTTATCCCTGTCAAATGCTTCAAAGAAATGGCAGAATCGAGAAGGGATGAAGAAAGCAAATGCTGCGGGCCGTGGGTCAATTATTGGACTTCAGAATAAAAAAAAATCATTTGAGCCATAAATAAAAATTTAAATATATATAAATGTATATATCATATGGGTCTTTAATGTTTTTCTGGATTTCTAAACTTAGGACTTTTAAAAGAAAAAAAATACATTTGAATTATCTCCACAAAAAGTGGTATTGGACTTATAGAATGACATTTGGGTTTATGGAATGACATGTGCATAAAGAATATATTATATAATCATATAAAAAAATATATTCAATTAGAGTTTAATTAATTTACTCATACAAAATTTGAAATTTACTTTCTAAATGTAATTATCTTAGTTATTATTCGTATTGTGAAAACTATAATATAGATGAAATACAATTAAAAATAAATCAATGTAATTATGTAAATTCTCTCTATAAGTTTATTTGAATATGTACATAATTAGAGATTATATTAACCATACAAATTTTCAATTTTAATTTTAATTGTAATTTTGTATTCTATAAAAATAATAAATACTTGACCAATGGAAGCTCAAAAATATTATTATATTAAACAATTTCAAATATTTTTATTTTTTCTATTTTTTTATTTATATTTATAATAACATAATTTTTTCCCCGTGCATCGCGCGGGTGATAATTATTAAATAACAAAAATTTTATGTATGAATAAACCTCATATAGGGTATATTTTTATAATATATTTTTCGTGCATCGCACGGGACAAATACTAGTTTTTATAAATATTATAAATTTTTGAAATTTGTAATATTTATGAAAATGACCTCATCCTTTGTTTTCCTTATTTCTTTTATTTTCAACAGTTAGATATGCTAAATCAATGTGAGTTTGGATTTGTCCGCACGTTCTCACCTAGAACATGGTTGTCATGGAAGTCGGACCCTATATATAAAGATTGTTGTTTTAACTTCAAATGTTATATATATATATATATATATATATATATATATATATATATATATATATATATATATATATATATATATATATAAAGGGAAATTCGGTTAGAACCCGCGGTTAGATCCGGAACCCCCAATTCTAGACCCGGACAGGAACCGTTCATATAAGGTTCCGGTTCCGATTTTCTTGGAACCGCGAGCCGACAATTCCGAACTAGAACCGGAGCCGAATCGAACCGTGGCACTCCTAATATAAAAGACTAGTAGGGTAAGATAAAAGTGGAAATAGAAACTGATGCAAATTGTAAATAAAGTTTTTGTTTGGGTAATAATTTTTAGGTATTATAATTTCAATTCCCCCAGTAAATAAATGAGTTCAAGTATTGAAAGTTCTTTCAATAATTCTGACAAACTTTCCACACAAGTGTAGAAGACTTCCACACAAGTCTTCTTTTGGCGGGCCAGCCGGCCAGCCTGGACTGCTTTTTTAATTTTTTATTGGAAAGACATGAAATGAGTGAAGTACGGAGAATATATTGTTTCATATATATACTCCTAGCCATTTCTTTAGTTTTTAAAATAGGCCATAGAGATGAATAGATGATGCATATGGTAGGAATGGGTAGAATAATGATATATGATTGTTTGGTGGTTACAATTGTTCGTTGCTTATTCATCTGGCATGCCTTGTTCGTATCTGGTGTTAGTGCTAAAAATACACTTGCACCTGGAGAATACTTGCTTCCGAGTGATGACGATTACTTGGAGTCATCAAATAAACTCTTCAAGTTAAAATTTACGAAGCTACCTGGCTCTGGCTCTAGCTCTGGTCTTAGCTGTTTTTTGAGTATAGAGTGGACCGGTTATCTAATCACATCCACTTCTGAACCAAGAGCAATTTGGGTTGCTTGGCTAGGTGAAAGGGAAACTTATGATATTCCAGAATTAATAATGGAAAGAGAAGGCCGGTTGTTGATATTTGCTGATCGTGACTTCGTTGTAAACAATGATCAACATCCATTTGTTATGAACACAACGGCAACTCTACTTGACACCGGCAACTTAGTTTTGCGGGGTGGGGGTCGTACGTTGTGGCAAAGTTTCGATCATCCCCCTGGTAATACTTGGATTCCAGGGATGAAATTGGGTTGGTTTGGGCTACAAAAAACTCCTCAACAGCGTTGTCTGACTTCATGGACAAGTGAGGAGAACCCTTCTCCGGGTGCTTTTAGCTTGTGTGTTGATCCAAACAATACCAAGCAGCTAGTTGCCATGCAAAGAGGGGTTGTTTATTGGCACAGTGGGGTCTGGAATGGATACAATTTTCCATTTCTTCAAGTCTATTCCCATTTCAGGTATTTCTCTAACCACAATGAAACCTATTTTGCTTGGGATGGGAATTCTGATACGGGTCCAACCTTTATCAGAATTTATGCAACTGGGAGAATTTATGCAATGTTTGGAGACCATATGCATAGAAACTACACAAGCATTAATTGTGATAGCTAGTAATGATACATATTATTCAAACGAGGGGTGCCTAAGATCACCCAAACAATCCAATTGTAGTGCTGAAGACAGGTTCAATTTAACAACTGGTTTCATCGAATCGAATTTATGCATGGGAACAAATGCTATTCAACACCACGTCAAAAATTGTTCTTGCAACGCCTATGCTACACTTGAAACTGATGGAACAGGCTGCAAATTTTCATCTTCCACTAAATACCGCTACACATCTTACGGCGAAACTCTTTACATCCATTATGCAAAAACAACAGGTAACTTTCTCAATCACAACTTCAATTTAATTTAATTTGTTTATCAACCTTTACTACTACTCACTCAATTGCTTCAATAATTATCTTAAGCAAATCAAATCCATTCTCCCCCAAATCGCCTATCTGCTCCTCCTCCTGCTGCTTTGACAAGGAATATGTCACACCACATTATGAGAACCAAAACTATAGTTGCTCTCACAGTAATACTCCCTGTCACCGCCCTCGTCCTGATTTTTCTAGTTTGGTATTCAAGAAAAAGTTGCAACTGCTGCTTCATAGGTATCACTTCACATATATTATTTCTTAACTCTGGCTATATATATAGTCCCCGCCCGCCTAATCACTTATAAGTGTTGACACAGTCCCAATTGTGCAATCCACACAACAACTTGCTGGTCACGACGAGGAGTTGCCCTTCTTCGATTTTAAAGGCATAGAGATGGCCACAAATTATTTTTCTGATGAAAATAAACTTGGTCGAGGATTTGGTCCTGTATACAAGGTATATATCAACTATATTCACATATTTTCATTGTTTTTGCACTTTAGGCAAGCAAATGATGTATTTGGAAGTAAATTTTAATTTGTTGACCTTTAATTTGGCCTGGTGAGTATAGTAGTATTTTTGTTTTTAGTGCTTTATTTTGTTTTTTTTTTTTTTTTTTTTTTTTTTTTTTTTTTTCATTTTTATACGTGACTTAACATTTTGTCACTTTTAGTTTTTACACCCAAATTTTTAATTAACGTCACAAAGCTAGAAATTTCAAAATAAGGGGAAAAAAAAGTACATTCATTCTAAAAATTTCAATATATTTATTTCTACATTTAGTCGCATAAATATAATGACATTATCCTTCTTCATCTTTTTTTTTTTTTTTTCTTTTCTTCTTTTTTAACAGCCTTTGCCTCATTATGGCTATATTCCAGTGAATAGTAGCTAGAATTAAATGCTAAAACTCACCCATTTCTTCATATCACAGCTTATCTAAGTGCAATAGTAACAATACAAATTTCTCCCTTTCTCGCATTTTACTCAATTAATTTTTTTTTACTTTAATGATTTTCTTTAATATTTTTTATAATTTTTAATTCAATATTTTGTATTTAATAGTATTTTGTATGTACTTTTCAAATATATAAATTTCATTTACTAACATTGAATTAATTATTATTATTATTGTCAAAAATTAAATTATAATTAAGTTCAGTCAAACTTCATTAATTGAAGAAGACATGCATATAAAATCAAGACGAAGAGATCAGAGTAGATGTCTTTGTGGTTAATTAAGATCAATAAGTTCCATTCAGGGAATATTAGCCAATGGTCAAGAAATCGCAGCAAAGCGGCTCTCAAAAATGTCCGGACACGAAATTGAACAATTCAAAAATGAAGTTCTATTGATCTCCAAATTGCAGCATAGGAATCTTGTTAGACTTTTGGGATGTTGTATTCAAGGAGATGAGAGGATATTAATATATGAGTACCTTCCAAATAAAAGTTTGGATTCAATTCTTTTTGGTTAGTTTGCTTTATTTGTTTCCATCATTCACCCTATATTTATCTTGCTTGCCTCCATTTATGAATGCATGACACTGGTTTTACACAGATGCAAGAAAGAAAGTTTGTCTTGATTGGGGAAAGCGTACATCCATAATTGATGGGATTGCTCAAGGGCTTTTGTATCTCCATAAATATTCAAGACTAAGGATTATACATAGAGATTTGAAAACAAGTAACATATTGTTAGATGTTCTCATGCATCCCAAGATTTCTGATTTTGGAACTGCCAGAATATTTAAAGATAGTGATTCTCGAGCAAGCACAAAAAGCATTATTGGGACCTAGTAAGTCATGTTTAAAATATCTCTTCTATTATATATTTTTCTTTTATTTAACTTGTAAAACAACTTCAATTCATGGTAAAACAGTGGTTATATGTCTCCGGAATATGCCATGGATGGTTGCTTCTCGGAGAAGTCAGATGTTTTTAGCTTTGGAGTCATGATAATGGAGATTGTAAGTGGAAAGAGAAACAATGACTTCTACAATCCAGATCTTGTCTCAAATTTACTAGGTTATGTAAGTATTACTCTATACATAAATTGTAGACAAAAAATAATAATTTATTTTTATAATTGTTTTTATTCAAACATCACTATTTTAATTTGAGTAATAAGTTTTTACTTCTAACTTTACCTATGAATGATCATTATTAGGCTTGGGATTTGTGGATTGAAGGAAAAGTTCCAGATCTAATAGATCGAACAATGGACAAAATGATTTCAGTTATTGAAGCAACAAGATATATCCAAGTAGGTTTGCTATGCGTTCAAGATAGTGCAATGGATAGACCAAATATGACAGATGTGGTATTCATGCTTGGTAATGAATCAACAATCTTACCCATTCCTAAGCAACCTGGTTTCTCTGCCACCATTGGCTTAAAATGTGGTGATGTTGCTAATAATTCAAAACCTTGCTCTGTTAATGGTGTCACAATTACAGAGATCGAAGGTCGATAGCCACACTTGGTACAAATTACTCTTACTGCTGGGCAAAGACTTTTTAAATTGGTTCAATTTCGTACTAAAATAATTATAAACTTTATCAAATATTGTGACATGTCTAATTGCAAATAGACATCATTTCTTTGAAGGTAATGCTTTTAAAATAGTTTTCAAAAACTACATAATATTATAAGATAAGCTTGTGTTCGTGACAAAGTCTATCTTTGCCTTTAAATTGGCACTATATTATATTACATGATGAGACACAAGTATAGTAGTTGGCTAGTAATTTAATGACGAGAAGGTTACATTATATTGTTGTATCCAACAGATATTATTTAATATTCCGTATCAAATAAGTAATAGGCTGCAATATTATATAATCAAAATTTTAGAAAGTGCAACAACGAAAATAAATAACATAGCGTTGTAAATTAAGATGTTTTCTTTTGAGTGATTGTTAACATTAGTATTCAACCTTCTTATCTTTAATCTAATCCAATATTTATATGATATACAGATTTCGAGTAAAATTTTAAGTTTATAAATGAAAAAAAAAAGATATATTCATAATAGAATTACTTTAGTAATGTCCAAATTTTTTATTTATTATTAATTACTAATCAATAGAAGGAATGAAATTAAATTAAGCTACAACGTAACGGTACAACCTAGTAAAAATTAAAGCAAATACCAAACAATGAATAAAAGTGAAGATATATAGGAATTAAATATGAGATAATGACCAGGACTGTGGTCCAATGGTATCCGGGTTGGACTTCCACTTGGAAGGTTGTGAGTTCGAGCCTCAGTGGATGTGTTATTAGCTCTTTGTGTTTCAATAGGTTGAGAAAGTATATGAACAGATACTACAATGTAATAGAGCTAGTAGCATTCAAAAAAAAAAAATATGAGATAATGAAACATAAAAAGCGAAGACTTATGAATCATCACCAGAGTCCCCGAGACTACCAACAATGCCGCCATAGCACGAAATTCCAGTCGGAGACAACTGATTTCTGCTCATCAAGTGATATGGGGCGTCCGACGAGGGCTAAGTTTTCTACCAGTAGCTACACACGACCAAAATACTCTGCCGGAGAGCTGTGACCTTACCTCAAATCTTGAAACTGAGAAAGGAGATTAACCATCTGTGCTCGTGTAGAAAAATCAAACGCCGCCTCCACAGCCTACTGGCGTGAGGTAGAACGCCCTATTGCCAAGTAAATAACTTCTTCCAACAATGACGAGATCAACATCGACAGCATTGCCTGATCCTACTGCATCCATGAAGCAAAAGTAGGATTGGCCGGAGCAGCAACATCGAAGTAAGCATCCCCAGAGGGCAGGGTAAAGAACAATCAACGTAACACATCAAGAACAATCAACGTAACACATCAGATTCTGCCCATGGAGAAAGGGAATGGGCTGCGTTCTCCAGAATAGGTAATTGCAGCAACAGGTGAGCTTAATGGATACAAAATGGTGGGCGGATGACAACGGATTGGAAGCCATAGTTGAAGGTGACTGTTCGTGTTGACTTGAAATGATTTGTCAAAATTCGAAACAAAAAGGGATTACTAAATCAAGCAAGAATTAGATCTATATTCCTAGTTTAAATAGGAATAAAAATTCTACTCATATCCATCTTATGACTCTTAGCCCTATAAAAAAAGCGGCTCCACAACACAACAGACAAGCTTTCAAGATCTAATTGTGAGGTACAAGAGTCATTGAGAAGAGATACCCAAATCCCCTTGAAAAGTATTACATGTGTTTAGGTCACAATAGTCCGATAGGAAAGATCATTCTATTGTGTAATCTCCGGGTCCAAACAGTGTATTTTAAATTTAAGCTTTTAGTGGATTTAGGCAAATTCTCAACTTGAGAAGTGCCTCGCAGATTAGGGTTGTTTGTCCGAACTGCGTTACAAATCGTTTGTGTTACAACGTCAGTTTTAACATCACCGTGTGCTACGCTTATATTTATTTCAATTGGTATCAGAGCTAAACTGCTTAAGTTACTAGCAGGATCCTAATGGAATTTTCAAGAGAAGGACTGTCAAACAACAAGCCACCAGTCCTGATTGGCACAAGTTTTTCCTACTGGAAAGCCAGGATGCAGATATACATCTTGGCACAATGAGAAGGTGTCTGGAATGCTATATAAAACGAATGGTAAATCCCAGTTGATGATAAAGGAAATAGAAAACCTAAAATTGACTGGAGTGAAGAAGAAAAAACAGAATATGACTTCAACTCGAAGGCAATGAATGCAATCTATGGAGCTGTGAGTGAAGATACCTTCAAACTGATTGCCACCACTCGCATAGCCAAAACCGCGTGGAGTATATTATGTGACCATCATGAAGGGAACACGTCTGTAAGACAATCCAAATTACAGATGATTAGGGGTGTTAGCGAACAGAGCTTTCGGCAAACTACTCGTGTTCGTGTTCGGTAAGCGTTCGTTTATGTTCGTTTGTTAAGGTAAACGAACATTAACAAACAAAATTTAGAGCTCGGTTAATAAACGAACAGAGCTTGAACAATTGTAAGCTCGTTTGCTAAGAGATCGTGAACAAGCTCGTTTGTGTTTGTTTACTAATGTTTGTGAACAAGCTCGTTTGTGTTTGTTTACTAATGTTCGTGAACAAGCTCGTTTATGTTCGTTTAATAATGTTCGTGAACAAGCTCGTTTGTGTTCGTTTAATAATGTTCGCGAACATGTTCACAAATATATACATTATATTATATTATATTAGTTATGTAGTTGTGTTGTTTGTTTGATTATTGTTCGTGAACGTAGATTATTTATTGTTCACGAACGAATTGAGACCATGAACATGTGCATGTGTTTGTTTATTAAGTGTTCATGAACGTAAATAAATATGTTCGTGAACGCGCTTGTTAATGAACATGTTTGTTAACGTTAACGAACACGTTTGCGAATGTGTTCACGAACGTTAACAAACACGTTCACGAACATGTTCGTTAACGTTAACGAACACGTTCGTGAACGTGTTCGCGAACGTTAACGAACACTAACGAACGCTTAACAAACGAACACGAACAGGATTTTCAAAAACCTTAACAAACGAACACGAACACGAACACTCTAAATTCCTTAACAAATGAACACGAACAACCTCCGTTCGTTTATCTTCGGTTCGTTAACAGCCCTACAGATGATACAGACAGAATTTGAAAACTTGAAAATGGAAGAAGAATAAAATATCACACAATTTAGTGCCAGAGTTTTAAGCATCTCAGGAGATGCATTCAATCTAGGCGAACCTATACCTGAACATAGGATAGTCAAAAAGGTACTACGTTCCCTACCTGGAAGATTCCTGATAAAAGTTACAGCAATTCAAGAAAACAAAGATCTGAACACATACAAACTTAGTGATCTAATGGGAAACCTTCAAACCTATGAGCTTGAGATGTTACAAAACCAGAAAAATAATGGCAAAGGAATATCACTACAATCAAAACAAGAAGAGAGCTCAGAAATTGATACTGAAACCATGGAACAGTCAATCGCACTACTAACAAAGAATTTCAATCGAGTTCTTAAAAAATTCAACAAATTCAGAAATAAAAGTCCCTTGAATGGCCAAGGAAATTCCACAGTCAATCAAAAACCACCAGGTATGAAAAGAAGAGACAGTTCAAATACCCAGATAATGTCGATCTTCCTCAATGAAATGCACAATTGGAAACCGAAACTTTGCTTGAGCCCATATCTGAAGAAAACCCTGTAACAGGGGCTGTTGAATCTGTCTCACCAGCTCCTCTGTCTGACAAGGAACAGAGAAAGAGAAGGACGACTGACCCCTACGAAGGGGCAGATCCTAGGGCTAAGAGACCCAATGATTTCCCAATGTCAGCAAGGCCTCCTCGGAAGTGCCCTAATATACCCCCTCCCAAGCCAAAGAAAGCCAAAACAAGAAGGGTAGAAGAAGAACAAGATTGGGTCCCTGATGAAATAGGTGAAAGCAATAGTGCTATACCATGTGCTAGTCATCAAGAAAAAGGGAAAAAGAAACTGAGAGCAAAAGACAAAGGAAAACAAAAATTAGGAAAAAGTGCTGACCTGTCAAAACTTCCAAAACCACGCAGCTCAAAATTTCTGAGAAAGGAGTCAGCAACCTTATGGGAAAAAATTGTGGAGAAAAAAATTATTAGTCAAAAACAACTTATTCTAGACAGAATGGACAATCTTGAACAAATTCAAGAAGCATTGACAAAGAACCAGCTCTTAGGAACTGTCACTCACATTGAACCCTATGATGAACAGGTCATCCAGGAATTCTATTGCAATCTGACTAAAACACCACTACACCTAGCAGTCCCATATACGGGAAGGTGTATTTGAGAGGCAAGTTTTATGAGTTTAGACCATACATCATCAACAGTTACCTAGGGTCATCTGAGAGTGAACAAAATGTGGAAGTAACCAGTGAACAAGTTGCTCAGGAAATCACAGCTGGAAATGTCAGCTTTGAAAAGAACAAGATCAAAGCCGCTTCCTAAATAAGTAAATATGCCATTCTCCAAAAGATAGCCCTTACAAACTGGATGCCCTCTCTACATGAATCCACTGTAAAGTGGACCTTGGCAGAACTACTGTACAAGATAGGGAAAGGAGTCAAGTTCAACATTGGTATTATCATCCATTCACAAATTACAAACCTGACAGAAGACATTACATCCAAAACTTCTCTAATCTTTCCAAACCTGATATTTGCTGTCTTAACTAAGCAAGGCCTCAAATCCCATGGTCCAAAAACCACTGTCAAGAGCATAAACACCACAATAAAGCTGAAAAAGGGAAGTCATCAGAATGACCTGAAGACCACAGCACCAAAGAACAATCCACTTGATCCCAAAACACTAATAAACTACTTTGAGAGAAGACTGACAGAATTAGAAGCCTCAGAGAAATAGATCCTAAGGAAACACATGGACATCAAAGAAGAAAAAGTAGAAATACTTGAATGGCTAACAATC